TATCAACTTTCCAAAAAGCCCCTAATCTTAATCTTATCTTTTAAAGGTTACAAGGAGGAAAATACTTTAATGTACATATTTTCTTTATATAAAATTTATAGATATATATATATATATATATATAGTGACATATCCATAGTACCACATACTCCTATGCACATGTCCACACACCTACACATACACACAGTCACCCTTGAGACACCCTTTAAGAAATAATAATTAAGTCACCCTCTAAGAAATAAGAATCCGAATTCATTCGTAAACAAGTCAGAGGAAAATTACCATGAAACAAAAACCTCAGCTTGTAGACTAAACATTGAGCCGCTGTTCAGACTATCGGCACGTTCCCACAATTCAGGATACTCAAATTTCCCGACCCAAGTCTGGAGTCTAAAGTCCAAAGTTAGAGAGACACTCAATAGTAAGAAAACCCACTCACAAAAAGCTCTAAAGCTCAAAACCGAGGTATGATCGTAAATGAAGAAGGAGTTAAAAGGAGAGTTCAGTTTGAGATTTGTTAATAGCAAGTCGGTGTTCTTCAACATAAAAAATATTGTAACCAGTTTAAGAATAAGAATTAAATAAAGTTTTTTTTTTAACTTAAACTTATGGTGCAAGAATTTAAATGCGATGAATTTTTTTCAACATCAACTAAAATAAACTTGGAAATGCTTTAATCGCTTAAGAATTAAACCAATCTAAAAACCACACAATTTCATTCGAACAAAAATGAATTTCACATTGACCAAATGACCAAACAGACTCTTTCGAATGTGATTTGTTCAACTCGTAAACACCCACATCAATCTCGACGAAAACTCTTGAAAATTTTAATTAGCACAATAAACCGTCAAATGTTACTGTTAATTCGATTAAATGGTGGAAACAATGTCCGGATTCCAGGTCAACTGATATTGCTGACAACTGCAGTGGCTGGGAAGAGCTGAAAAACGGGGAAATTCCTCCCAAACAATACTGCACCTGTTACTGCAGCGGCAATAAACCAAAACAGCAACTCAAATTCCTACCCGCTCCCCCTCCACAAACACACACACGCAGACACAGACAATGGTGGTGGTGGTAGTTTTCGCAAGCCCCCGCTTTCCTGTCAGCCTTTTCATTTAATTGCGGTCGACTTTTGGGGTTTTGACTTACACAAGGCGAGAAAATCGGAAAGAGGAGTGGCAATGCTCTCCGCTCGGCAGCAAAATGCCAATCATCAATCAAGGTGATTTGTTTCAATGCCCCCCAGCCACACATTTCACGCTGTTGTGCATTTCGGAATGGACAGACACTGATAGCGGTCGAAGGGGGTCAAATGATGGCTGCTTTCGGCGGGGGTTCCGTATAGAAGGGGGCGGAGGACGGATAGGGTATGTAGAGGTTCATTCGGCTTGGCACATGTGGCCAATCACTTGCATACACTTCAATTGCTGTGGTCTACCCACTCTCAGTCGTACTTAACACGTTCATATGCAAAGCAAATTGCGAACTTGAATTGCCATACATGAATTAGTCTCAATCGTTGAAAAAAGATAAATGTATTTCAAGTGATGAAATATCATAGTTCTTCAGATATGTGTTAATCAAGATTTATCATTATCTGCAACTTATCACAAACTGATCTTGAAAATCTACGCATAAACGCAATAACTTCGCCTGGCAGTTGTTGTTCATCAATGAATTCAATCACGAAAATGCTGCCCCATTTGGTTTGGCAGAGTCCCTTTCTCGATGTCTACTCACACTCACACTCACTCGAACAGTAGCAACACTCAGAGCACTCACACACCCACAGACAGCACTCCTTGCCACACTCATTCAGTCGTTGCATATTCATGAGGCAAACGCCGGCCTCCTTGTTTGAGTTACTGACGTGGCTTTGATTTAATTGCCTTGATTTTGTCTATAATTTATTTTAAGCCTTATCCCAGGACCAAAGATCTGCCCAATTTTTTCTCTCTTCGGGTTTTCGGGTAAATATTTTCGTTCAATTCACACATGACTTAATCTGCATGCTAAAACTTTAGGTTGGACTTAATTTTCTTACACAAATAAAGGTGCAAACCGAATTTAAATACTTCTGGCATTTATAGCTTAAATATAAAATAATTTTAAACAGTTTAAACATTAAACTTTTACAGAGAATTCGATAGTTTAACATTCCCTTGCTCACCCTTTGCCGCATAAAAAGTTGTAGGAATATTTCATTTCATCCTGGTTCCGTCGTAAGATCCTGCTCCTGCCCCTGGAAAACCGCAAGAGCACATTTTTGACGCTTTAAAAAGTTGCGAGGGGCTACCGCTATTTTTATGCGCCGTTCACTTTTGTCGCCATTCCGTGCCCGCCAAGGAAAATAAGAAGAAAAGCTGGCTGCCTCCCCAACTCCTTCGTCTCTCTCGAGCCATTCTGGACCCCGCTCTTTCTCCTTTCTCCTGCTTGCAGTCATGTTTCATACTTTTTACAGATATTTTTAGCACTTTTTTTAAATTCCGAAAGAGGTGTGCGCATAAATTTTTTGGTGCCCTGCAGGCAAATTCTTTATGCAGAATATTCCACAGCAGCAAAATACAACGTTAAAGCCAGTGGAAGACGGCAAGCAACTTGGGAACTAAATTCAGTTTAAGGCCAGACTGATTGTAATTTGATTTGGCCTTCTGCTCTACCCCGCCTCGTTCCATCCACCCGCCCATTACCGATTTTGGTTACTTCGTTTTCCAAGCGACAACAAATGTCATTTCCGGTCGCCGTGTGATTTGTGACCCGAGAAATCGTAATCGCACTTTATCTATTAGTTACATTTTCTCGCCGCCACGCCTCCCAACTCCCGGTCGACCTTTAATGAAATTTACTCGGGTCGTCCCGTTTTCTATTTACTTTTGTGGCACAAAATTAATAAAGGACCTCGTTTCCTCCCTCTTCGATCCGTATAGAACCAAGTGGAAACTTAATCCCCAAGGAAATTATGTGAAAAATGTGCGTTGGGCTTGGCTTTTGTCCGGCATTTTTCTTTTCCTTGCAGGTTGGCCGGGGACCTTGTATTATTATTTTATTTTTTTTTTATACTCTAAGTTGTTAAGCGGCGAATAGCTGTAAATATTTTCGTTGGTTGGCTTAAAACATTCAGCGTATGGCCGGAAATATAAGCCCAGGAGGGGGTGGGTGGTCAAGCGAAAGGTATATCAACAAAGGCAACGTGACCCCTTTTTTCATTTCGTGCTTAGGTCTGTCCTTTTCCCTTTTCTCTTCAGCATCGGAGGTTCATTTTTAAGCTGCGCAATTATCATTAAGTGGTGGCCCATCTGAAGGTCAGAGGCGTTCTTTTCGGATGACGAAGTAAGAAAGGGTTCTGGAAAGGAATTTCTTATGACTTAGAAATCATTTCAGGAATTCAACAACAAAGCGCATGGAAAAATTATCGGAAGATAACATATATAAATCTAAGAAAGCATTAAAAATTTTAAAGAATATTTTAAATAAATGTATTTCAGTGATCACCATTAATAAAAAATTAAATACAACAATGGAAATTATTCAGTATTAGCTTAATAATTTACATTTAAGTATATTTGAATCACTTTATTTTATGTAAATAAATAAAACAAGAATTTCCAATATTTTTAAACCGAAGTCCTACTGAATATCCTTTGAATAGCAACGCAGCCCATGCCTACTATCAGCATCCTTTTCGTGGAACCCTCTGGCGGCTTGTTTTCTCCACTTACTTTCTCTTTGAAACATTTTGGCTTTTTTTTCTGGTAATTGTATAAAGGTTGCCGGCAATTTCGTTCAATTTGTATGAGTCCCTTTTTTCCTGGATCTTCGTGCGGATGTTTTACGTAACGGATAATTTGTGCGCCACACTGCGTATAAGTTATGCGCTGACTGCATAATGCGGCTTTCACATGAGCTTAGCGAAAAGGACGTTGCCTCCGTTTGATGGATAGACTTACGTCATTGAGAGGGACTCTGTCTAATCAGAACAATTGTCTTTTGCCCTTTGTGAAGTCCCTCAGACGGTCCAAAGTGTCAATTACATCCGTCCACGTGTTCGGGATTGCGGTGGAGGGAAAGGTGGAAACTATAACGGTATGCTTGGATGGGGTGAGGTAGCTTATGTAATTGTCAGGTCATTGTTTTGGCGCAGACATAACGCTCTAATTAGGCCACTAAACAAGCGAATAATTAGGTGCATTTAATGCGAGACAAGAGCCTATGGAAATATGAAATTTATGTAATGTTATTCCATTGTCAGGTTTTTGTATCGTAACACCGATCATCTTTATCCAAGTTAATTAACAATAAGTGTACAAAATATAATGAAGGTACTAATAATACTATTTATTTTCTTGTGACTGAAATCATTTTATTGAGAAAAGGCTTTTACATTTCATTTCACTAATAACCCTCTTAGCAAGCCGTCCTGCGTGTAATCGAAAAACTTCTCTATGTTGCAAGTTAAAATAAACTTTCAAGCCTGCAACCTTTCAATTATCAAATATTTACTTGTATCTACCAAAAAGCCAACAAAGAACTGCAACACTATCGGAAACAAGTGAAGCCCAAAAATATAATTATAGAAATTGTAATTAAAATGAAGTCATCTAGAAAACGACTAGGACATTTGGCCATTGTATGTGATAATTAAATATGCTGTATTAAATCCATGAGCTGCTCACCGAAAGCTCCTAAGTAATCTTTTCGCCAGGCACTTTCGGGATCTCCTGGAACCCTTCACCTGGCAGTTTCCACCTGTATTTGCACTCTGTTTTCTGTCTTTATTTCATTTTAATTACATTGCATTTACATTTTACATTTCTCGAGGCCATTTGATGGCCGGCTTCGGCTTTGGGGCTCCGACAGTCAAATCAGGCGTATGATAAATTGATTGCGAGTGCATATACAGTTTATAGTGTAAGGATGTCATCACCCATGCATGCATTTATGTGTGCACTCAGAGAATTCTAATGAAAAATAAAATTGTGGAAATAAATTCGTAATTAGTTTTTCAAAGCCTGAAATGAACAATTTTTCAGTCCTTTAGTTTTATTGGTCATAAATTTTGAACTTTTAAGCAAGTATTTTTAGCTATGAAATTAAGTTAATATGAAGTAATAGCTCTTAGTTTGCTACGTTTATTTCAAAATTATTTAACCTTTAAGTTGACAACATTTTTAATAGTTTTCATGATTTATCTTTCTGTGTATCCACTGTGTTTGTCTGGCATTGAGACTTTTCTGCTCCACACTGCAAATGCAAGGCTTTAATAAAATTTTACGCATAAAATGCCTTTAATTGAATTACATTTAATTATTTCACCAGACATTTTCCTGCGAGTTGCGTTGAAAATCGTTTTCCTTTCTGACACTTGTGACTGATTTGATATGGCCAGTGTAGTCTTAATTTTTACTATGTACTTCCCTTTAAAATTGCATAATTTTGGGCAATATAATTAAGCACTTATTTAATTTGGAATGTGAATGTGTTTTGGCGGACTAAGTGCCTCCGAACTTGTCTACAAAGAAAATCAAGGATATTCCGGGTCTTTCAATTTACTTATTAATACAGAGTAAATCCCTCAAACCCTTTACCTTGACTGGTCGGCCAGTGGATACAATCAAACAAGATTCTTATTTATACATTTAGTAATATGGAAACATAATATATTCTTTAGGATCAAACTTTAACATCAAGTCGGTCAGTTGATACGATCAAACAAGATTTTTATTTATACATTTAGTAATACGGAAATAATATTTTCGATAGCATCTTTACGATCAAGCTTTTGCATTTCTTTTTTGTACTGATATTGGTCATGGTTATAGTCGATATGGTGTTCCTAACATTTTACTTAAAATAGTAGTTTAGATGGGGTCGACACTGTATCATCCGGGATATAGTCGCTGTCGTTGTTGCTAGTCTTCTGGGCAGACAAATGAAGACGTTCCTTATAGTTAATTGGCTTTCGGACTCGCTTGCCTTTTCCCATGCTGTTCTCTAAGATCTCACTGAATTGCTGGCGCTTTTTTTGCTGAGGAGTTCTCCAGTTGTCCGGGTCCTGGTTTTCCACATCCTGTTTGTGGGCATCCTCCTCCTCATTTTCTTCCTTAGTGTCGTAAGATGCCACCTTAAAGGACGATAGGTACTCGTTGGCCCACGACTCCTTCTCCTGAACGCCTCGATCGGAGCGGTCCAGCAGTACGGCAACCGCCTTCTCGTCGTAGTGAATAGCCTTCTCCTTGCCTTGCTTGAAAAGATCCTCGGAGCCAAATCGAATTATATCCTCGAGCTCTTGCTGGGTGAGACTGATGCCATTACCACCTACTACCGGCCGCACCACGAGATGGGTGAGCATCATCTTGCGTTTTGCTGCTTCCATAATGCGCTCCTCCACGGAACTGCGATTCACAAATCTATATATCATAACATTTTTGGTCTGACCGATACGATGGGCTCGGGAGAAAGCTTGAATGTCGTTATGCGGATTCCAGTCCGAGTCGTACATAATGACTGTGTCGGCTGTGGCTAAATTAATACCCAATCCTCCTGCCCGTGTGCTAAGCAGGAAGACAAAGTGCTCCGATCCAGGAGCATTAAATCTATCAATGGCTCCCTGACGCACTGTTCCCCTGATTCCGCCGTCAATTCGTTCGTACTGGTAATTCTCACCCTCGAGGAAGTGCTCGAGAATATCAAGCATCTTGGTCATCTGTGAGAATATTAAGACGCGGTGGTTTTGCGCCTTCAGCTGTTTTAGCATCTCGGAGAGCAGAACCATCTTTCCGGAGGCCTTGGTCAACGAATTGAGCTCGTACAAGCCATTAGGCGAAATAGGTGCCTCTTCGACAGCCGAGGGAAAAAGATAGGGATGGTTGCAGCATTTTCGCAGATCCACCATTATATTAAGTAAGGAAACGGACCTAGAGGTTGCGCTCGCATTTAACGCCTTGAAGTTCTTGGTCAGGATGAATTTGTAGTACTTTTTTTGCATGGCTGACAACTCCACGCGCACAATAAACTCGGACTTGGAGGGCATGTTCTTTAGCACATCTGTCTTCAACCGGCGAAGCATGTGCGGTCCCAAGATTTCGTGCAGATGCTTTATCTGTTCTTCCTTCGAAATGTCGTCGAACTCCGCCTGGAATGACTGTAGGTCATTAAACTTTTTCGGGCTCAGGAAATTCAGAAGGTGAAACAGCTCCACGAGATTGTTTTGCAGTGGAGTTCCCGTTAACAGCAGCTTGTAGGCAATGATATAGCTGTTCAAGGTGCGGAAGTATTTGCTCTGGTTGCTCTTCAGACGATGGGCCTCATCCACCACCAGGACCTCCCATTGGATTTTTCCTAGGAAAAGAAAGTCCAAGTTGATTATCTCGAAGCTGGTGAGCAACACGTTGAATTTCAACATGGTCGTGTCTGAAGTCCGAACAAATCCTTTGGTTATCTTCTCAAATGTGAACTCGTTTCTACGCATAGTCAATCTGGAAGGCTTATCACCCACATAAGTGACGCAGTTGAACTCTGGAGCCCATAGTGACAGTTCCCGCTCCCAGTTAGGAACTGTGGAAAGCGGCACTGATATTATGAAGGGGCCACGACAATGGCCCTCTTTGAACAGAGAGTAAAGGAAAACTACCGTCTGAATGGTCTTGCCCAGACCCATTTCGTCGGCTAGGATGGTGGAGATACCTTGCCCCCAGCTGTAGCGCAGCCAGCTGACGCCTTCCAACTGAAAGGGATGCAATTGCAAGCCAGTTCCTTCCAGAAATGCTGGTTGGTCTTCATACTTCTTGCTTAGGTCTGTAGTGGGATTGAGCTTTCTGTGACGCTTTTTGATGGAATGAAGATCTTTGTATAAGTCAATGGCTTGTTTCAAGTTATGGATGTCATCGTTTTCCTTCTCCCATGTGCACTCAGTGTAGGCCAATTCCCTCCATTTTACAAGGTATGTGGTGCTGCCATCAGGTTCCTTTGTGTGTTTGATCACTCTGTGGACTATGAGCCATTCGGGCTTTACACCGTTACTGTAAAATCGTTCCTGCAGGTCGCCTTCCTCGTCCTCAAACTCCTCGAACTTGGGCGGCTCTTCCATATCAGACTTTCTCTGGAAGGTACGTACCATCATGGGATATAGGACAAGCAGTTTCCATTCGGCAATCCACTCGCAGTTCCAGTATGACATGTTGTGCCATTTGATAAAGTATTCGCGGGGCTCGGATCCTTCGTATTCGTTGAAAGTAGACGTGTCTTCGGTTGACCATCGCCATGTCAATATTTTTTCGGGTTTTCCCGGAAGGAAAATGCATCGCGGACAGAACCAATCGCCCTTGGGAATTGATTTCAGAGGTGGCCGTAGGCAGGCCCCGTGGTAGACAGAGGGGCAGGAGTCGCAGCACAGCAGATCGCCTCCATCCTTACAAACCTTGCAGTATTCCTCATCAGCAATCTTAGCCTTCTTGGCCCTGTTCATCACGCGTTTGGCCTTATGATACTTCCTATTTCTGAGCTTAAGAGAAAGTCAGGATCGAAATCCTACCGAGAATGATCGCAGTACAATACAATCTAATTTCGTTTTCCAAACTTCGTTTTGCGCGCCAAGATTATCATTAAGAAAAACACATCTAACAATTAACTACAAAGGAGCAAGCAGGATAGAAAACAAAATACTGATCAGGCAAATATACGGTCTTACAAAATAAACCACACAATAAGACAAAACATTTGGGGTATTCTAATAAATACTTATTCATCTCATCTGATCAGCGAAATCACAAAAATTGAGTTTAATATAACTAACAAGGGAAATAAGATAACTTAACGAAAACTATACTGCGTTTTATTTTATTGTTTCAGTACGAATAAGTTGGAACTTGATTTTAATTTCAAGGAGCTACATATAAATATATGTTATAATTACCAAATCTTTCTTTTAGTAATGGCTGCAATATATTCCAGACAATAATTGTGTTATCTCAGAGAGCATAAAAAAAATTTTATTACTAAAATATATAAGTATATCTATGTAGGTACCCTACTTATTTTATACATTTTATGCTTATCAACAACAGTGTCTCAAAACAAAAATACTTTAGTCTTGGATTTGACGCAGTGTGGTCAGATGAAATGTTTTGTATTTTCCATAGAAGTGTAGCATGCCTGTTTTTAATTTTTAAGTGCAGGCAGTGATACATGTTTAATATATGTTTTGTATCCTACATATATTAAACATGTATCACCATTAGTTTAATATATTTTAAAAACAAGTTAAGCACAATACATCTGATAATTGCTGGCAAACGCGAAATAGTGTATACGTTGTTTTACTTACTCCGATATGAATAGAAATCTCGTGTTAGTGTAGATAAGCCATTATGGACCATTATGCCTTATTGGTAGGCGATTATGAAGCATCGAGCACTTAACTGGAAATACAAAGCAAGCAGAAATGCTGTACTCACTGTCGCTACTATAAGGTACCCGTTACTGTTATACACAATTTTTAAATATTCATTTTACTAGTGGAAATGGACCAATCACAACCTGTTGTCAAAAAAGCATGTTCACTAACTGATGGTGACGTCACTGTCCATGTGTCTTCATTAATAGCGAAAGAATGTTCAAATTTGAAAAAAGTTGAATTTGGTAAATCGATAGATATTGACAAAAATACGTCAAACGAAGACATACACTTTAATATTATGGTAGCCACAGATTTCCGCGGTTTGTGTGCGTTATAGTGGTCGTTTCAACTCTGTACCTCTTATAGTTCCTGAGATCTCAGCGTTTATACGGACAGACGAAAGGGCAGTCGGACGGACGGACGGAAAGACTGGCACGGTTTAATTGACTTCGCTATTGATACTGATCAAGAATATAAATATATACTTCATAGGGTCGGAAACGCTTCCTTATACCTGTTACATACTTTTCAACGAATCTAATATACCCTTTACTCCTCGATTTATAAACAACTTTGAGCCTAGAACCATTAGTGGCTCTTGCCCAATTTATAATCAACTTTGAGCTGAGAACCAATTTCCAAATTTCTGTGAACTATGCCTTCAAATTATTCCCACCCAGATCAGTTTCAGTTTAAATTGCATCATCCTATTTTCCGACTCTCTTGAGTCATTCTCTATAAATTCTAGGGATAAATCTCATAAGCCGAGGTTTGATTATTGATTATTGAACTTGAGGAGGGCAGCCCTTTTTGAAACACCGAATCGAAGAGTTAGAAAAATTAATGTCTACGAACAGTGAATAAGATAGGTTCGACACTTGTAAGATTGTAAATTGTGAATAAGGTATTTCAAAAATAAAAATAAATTTTTTTAATAAATTCACAAGTGAGAAATTTAATTTACACACATAAGTATTTACATATGTATTACATATACATGTATATAGTATGTATAAATGTATGTAAGAAATAAAAATTGTTTATTTTTGGTTTAAAATGGTTATGAATCTTCATAAAGGTGTACTAATTGGAAGCTTTAATTCACTGTGAACAGAAAGTTAAAGTCTGCGAGTCGAAGCTTGCGTTTATCCCAAAACCAAAAACAAGCCGCAGAGCAACGAACCGGCGACCGCTGAAACATTTCAAAGACAAGCCACCAACAGCAGAAACACCGTCAACAGTCGGCAACACCAACATCACCGACAGGACGAGGACAATGGATTAACTCAAACTCGAGCTCAAACCTTGTAACTGCCTGACCGCACACCCACTGACAGTGTGGGTGGAGTGTTGGCGGCCGGGGGCTGACGAGTGGGTGGCCAAAGAAGTGAGGGCCAGTTGATGGTCACATGTCACAGACATTATGGAATCATGAACTTATGTGCACCTGTGCGTGTTTGCGGGGAAGGACAGGTGAGGTCCCAGGACTCCATTTTGGTTATACTCGTGTGGACTTGCGGTGGAGGACAGCGATTTGTGGTTCGATTGGTGATGGTGCCGTGACTTGTGTTGGATTTCATCAAAATAATAAATCTCTAAACTTTAATAAAAAGAAAAACAATTCAATAACAACCAGATATTTGCAGGCAAAATATATCGAATACTAATATTATATGTACATATGTATGTATGTATATACATATAGTATTTAATTTATTTTTGAAATCAGTATTTAAAACCTCCTTTTTTAATCAAGTTTTTCACGCGGCCATCACTAGTGCCGACCCGAGCCATTTCAATCATCAATCAAAGTGTTTTGTTACGACTTTCATATGTCATGTTCATGGCTCTGAGCCACCGGTTTTTGCATCCCACCGTATTCGTCCTTGCTACATCTGCCCCATGTATACGAGAGTATCTCTGCCCAAATCTGGAGAGCCAGTCATGCGGAGGTGTGACTGTGACACAACAGACGACATTTATGGTGTCGTCGAGAAGGATTCCCATTACAGCCACCAGACAATCAATCACATGAGCACCGAAATCAATTGTCGCAGCTCCTATTTTCGTTTTCAATTTCATTTCGCTAAATATTTATGAGGCCACCACTTGGGGCGTTCGATTTGTAATCCTAATGAGGCGTAATTAGAAAACATTCAATTACATTTCACTGACATCAATCAATGCCGCTTTTTGTGGCCACTTCGACGGGGACAACTTTAAGCAATGTAAGTTTCAATTTTCTATCGCCTTATGGGTAATCCTCTAATGCTCAGCCCGACTTTTCATCCCCTTCCCCAGCTGCTGTTTCTGTTTGTTGTTCCTGATTGCTGCTTAAACTTTTCTTTCGCTCTCGGCCCACTTGCTCGTGATTAAGCCTTATTGTAAAGAGGTTTTGTACGCCTTTTGATTTATAGATATTGGATCATACCACTCACCCTTTTTCACCAACAAAACCAACTGAGGGCCTTTGTGAAGCTGGAAATATCGAAGCGGGGGACCAGAGTGTGTTAGCTTCGGAGGAAAACTTGTAGGCAGAGTAAGGTAGCTCAAGAAATAGGCTATGCAGAGAAAGGGTAAAAAAGGGTTTAACAATGAAATTATAATTTTTTTAATCTGTTAAAACCATTTATTAAATTAAGATAAATTATTTTCATATTATACCTTTATATAGTACTGCTTACAAAAAATTAAAAACACGATAGTTATACACTAAGGTACAAGGATTATGCAAATAAGATAAATGTCATTGAATCACCTAATCTTGAACATTAAGATTAGGAAAGCGTATATCGAATTCGTTGATGCTCTCTATTTCCTTTCAACGATTCTCACTTGTGCCTTTGTTGCATACTTTTAGGCGCGCGACTCAACTTGTTTACAGGCAAACTATGGACCAAGGACCCTGGATTCTGGATCCTGGATCCTGTACATTGGCCCAAACAGTGGGCGCTGGCTATTCGGCATCCTTGATAGCCGCACAATTTGCTGCCGCGTTTTTGTATCTCTCCGAGCTTGTTTGTCTGCACCAAAGCGCTGGTGTTCAATGCACAGAGAAAAATAGTTGTGATTCTAACTATAAAAAACTAGAAAATATATCAGACAGATCTCTATACAATTTAAACAAATATATTATTATAGGTATATTATAGGTTTTCAAATTGATTTAAGGATTAATAAAGGCTACTTTTTTTCTGGAAAAAATGAAACATCACGTTATTAGAAGTTCTTTTGGAGTAGTTATCATATGTTGTTACTAGGAAGAATTTATATTTAATAATATAAATATTTTCTCTGTATGTTTGTGTGTGTGAGCAGTGCTGGCCAGCAAAAAGTTTGCGCACTGATTGCAAACTTGTTTCAATTGTTTCGTAAACCCAACCGAAGGGAAGAACCCAGAAGACTCCCAGTGGGTAGATGAGCTGGATGGGCTGGGAGGATTGCGGGCTTGTTTTTCCGCCATGAAAGTCAAGGCGAAAGCTCCTAGTTCTGAGGCCAAGGCAATTCGCCTGCATATTTGTGTGGCTTAGTTTCCGTTTCACAAACGAAACGAAATGAAACGAGCGGCATAAAAACCCATTGAAAATTTGCATACGAAAATGAAATTCAAATAGGTTTCCCATGTCCCTCGCAATCAGTTCCGGCTAGTCCAATCACAAAAAATAGTGAACGGAAACTTTCGCTTTTCCTGTGCCGTTTAAGCCCTATATTTATGATCCACAATAATACAAAAGGATATTTCATCTTTGAGGTTTATCCTCTCTGGCAGTTGGCATTTTTAATCTAAATCGTTTGGCTGACTTTGTTTATCGAGGCTTGCTCTGGTCGCTTTCACCTCGGATTGCGATTCGAACACTAAGTGATTTTTCATTGACTTTGTAATGCAAATTGCTTGTCTATCCTCTCGCCGCCTCTCCTCCTGCTTCTTTTTGCCATTGGCAGGCTCTTTGGGCTTTTTATCACAGGAGGCCTGGGTTGCAGACCCTTCAACGATTCGAAAGCCAATAAAATGCAAATTTTTTCATCGCGTAAACAAATCCTAGCCGAAGATTCCTAGAGATGGGGATTCTACATGTCTGAGGATGGGATGCGAATGCTGTATAAAGATTTAAAGCAGTCTAAGGATTACAAAAAAAAAAATGTTTAATATATGGGTTTCCTTCCTTTTAAGATAATTTATAAAGAAATTTAGAATTTCAATTTGCAATCGCCATACATATACTTCGTAAAATATTCCTACACGATATTCTTATCATTTAAGTTATTAAACACAAAAACTTTTAAGTAATTCAATCTTTAGGATTGTCGGTATCCTTCATAAACTCACGATCCCATCTTCAGTGGAAAACGAGGACCAAAACTGAAAACCCAAACTCATTTCTATCAGCATCAGACTTGACTTGAGCTGGGCCACTCGACTCGCAGCCATTGATTTAATTGTAAGCTGTTGAATTTTGATGGTTTTTAATTGTCTTAAGACCGGTTCAGCAAAAACCAATCAGGGTTCCTTTGATAAGACCTGATGGATGGATGGTTGGATAGAGAGATGGGCGGCGGGACAATGGACCCGGGGAAAGGGAAAGCCTTCTGTTGTCAGCAGAATAGTTGAAAATTCCACTTAGTGCTGACTACTGACCCACTTATTGGTCACTTCTGGGTTTGTGTTTCCGCTGGACCATCAGCCACCCCTTCTCGTCCATTCAAAGTCAACCACTTGACTAAACAGCACTCAAATTTGATTTTGATTTATGCTGCCCAGCAGTCCGCATCGAATTGCCTCCTCTTTCCACACTTTCCAACTTTCCCCCTTCCCTCCCATGACTATTTCTCCCATATAAGTACAATTGCAGGCTCATAACTTTGGCATCTATCGTCGTTCGCCTTTCATATTTACATGCTCCTTACACGCGCATTGGCGTGTAACGGAAATGGAGTAGAATTTACACTGAAAAAAATAAGTAGAAATGAAAAATTATGTTAAACTAAAAGAAAATATTAACCAATGCATATCTTGGTTTAAAACTCAGTTCTTTATGGAAAGAAAGACTTTCAAATGTACGACTTAGTATTAAGTTAAGTTAAGTATTAAAATAAGTTATTTAAGTTATTTGTTAAGGCTTGAAATATTTCCCAAAAATATATTAGGGATCTCTAGAATATTTTTCGTAATAATTACTTTATTTTTATTTACAAAACTAAAAGCTTTTTTCCCTGTGAAACTTTCCCGCTTTCCAAAAGGGTTGTCCGAAAAGGGTTTGCCCTCGCACCCCGAAACCTATTGAAAGCTCGTGGAGCAAACGGCTTCGGCATTTTCTTTTTGTTTCCCGCCTGCATCCTTTGGCCAAGACACGGACACTTCTCCCATCCCTCGACATTTTCACAATGGAAAATACAATTTTCGCAATCTTTGCTTATCTTTTCATCTCTCTGTGGCTGCCTCGTTCGTGGCATGATTCGTTGTTGCTGTTGTTGGCCAACCGGAAAATCGGTAAAAAGCTAAGATCAAAGGGGGCGTGGCAGGAGAGGCGGTGGATGTGGCGGTTGAAGCAGGATGTGTTGGCGGTGTATCCTTTGTTTGTCGGCAGTGCCGGTAATACCAAGTTGGTGCAGTAAGCTCATAAGCATCGGTTATGGGCGAGGTTCGCTTCGAAGTTAAAGTAACTGCTTGTAATTGAAGCACTTTATGTAATTTATTACATTTAATATTACTATTATTAGAACACTGTTATTTATGCTTAATAATTCTTATTGGTTTATTGAGTTCTAGAAGGGGAATACTAAACCTGTTAGTTCCAAACCAAAAGATAACAAGTTCTCTAGTTCGAGATCATAAAGATCCTTAGCAATATGTCTCATACATTCTATATAAGCTCTAATCTTTAAGAAGTTTCATTATTTTACATATCTTTATTATTTTTTTGTATTATTTTTAATATCTCATTGGCCTGGCTAGAAGTATATAGCTCTTTCTGAAACTTCTTACTCTCACCTAACTGAATGTCAGTCTTCTCTTAGCGTTTTTTGTATTTCTTATTGCTGTTCTCCGTTTTATTGTTGTCATAATGTGGTGGCTTGTTGCCGCTCGCCTGTTGGCTGCTTTCCCCGTGCAACTTGCACTACTTTAGAACTATTGCCACTATTGACTGCCTTCTGGTTTCTCTTTTTTCTCATTTCTGCATTTTTTTACTGCTTAATGCCAGAACATGGACACAGAGCACAGACGTGGAGAAGCATTTTCCCTTGGATCCTTCTTCCAGCCAACAGTTTATGCCTTTCTTTCCCCTTCTTCAGAATGTCCACCCTTTTGCTGCATTTTTTATGGGCAACACACAAAGGTGTATTTTACTTGCCATAAACAAGGATTGCATACATTGTTCCTGTGCATCTCGCTTTGTTGGTGTTTCCCCGCCTGTTCCCTGTGTCAAATGAGGATATTCAATTTGAGCTTGATATGCATTTTATACTGTTGCTCGGGATAAACTGGATGCTCTGCAAGCGTATTGAAAATCACTGCAATCACCATCCAAACGGTCAAGGGTCTAATATACAGCTGGGATAAGTGAGGTGCAACCATGTTTGCATGTGGGCTCATATTGCTTTCATGCCTTGAATAATTTGCCTTGAAAATAATTTCAATTCCCGATATAATACAATAATATTTAATAAACACAAATCTCTCAATAATGTTACTTAACTTAAAGAGTTAGTAGTTAGATTACATTTGCTGGGAAAAGCCTATTCTTAGGTAGCAACCTTTTGTTTTGGATACCAAAAATCCAATAGAAAATCATGGCAATTTACAGCAGAGACCGCACTCTTAGTGCGATGCAAGATAATTTATTTACTTAAATTACACCTGCTATCCCTGCAATTCACCAGCTCAGAGTCTCACGTTCCGACTGCAATTTCTGGACCCACAACCCACCGAAAATGGGATCTCAAATGCCTTCGCCTAACAATACGCACGCAATTACCGCAGGACGAGCAGCCGAAGAGGGCGAAAACTTCAACTCCCAAACGCTTGACGAAACTTTCACAGTTGTCCTGATGACGATGACTATGACGATGATGATGACGTCGATGGCGATGGCGTTGGAGCTGGACAAACTTTTTCAGGACTCTAATTGCCCAAGTGGCTTTCGAGTTCGAGTTCGAGTCGAGCGTCGCCACGTAATGGAGAAAGGAGACCCAAACTTTTGCCCAATTCAGCAGAACTGCGAGCACAACATCTTCTTCAGCTTCAGTTGGGCCCCACTTCTATTTCACTCACAAAATGCACAATCAAAGCTGACCGTTGGCGTTATTAACACAAATAGAAATGGTGCAATACCAACACACACCTGCGGTTGCAAAAATAGTAAGTTGCCACAAAAAATATACAGAAAGGAAAATACACTTTTAGGATTGAGCTTTACTCATGGTAATGACCATAAAAGTTATTAAAATATATCAGAAACTGCATCAAGTTTCTGGCGGAGATACAATAAACCAACTTATTTTGAAAATAACTTAATTAATAATTTATATAAATACTAAAACTGCTGTTGAAAAATCTTTTTTTATAGCAGAATATAACTTAATGGCTTAAGAATCCAGAAAACTAGTGCTTTTTATTTAACCACCTCTGTAAGTTTTTGAGGAAGCGAACTCCTGGTGTTACTTATATTTCAATTTATTAGATGGTCAACCTTCAGTGAGGGTGGAAGGGTGCACTTGTCCTAATGAAGTTCCGACTCTGGGAGATAGGGCAACCAGAATCCCTAACTTCCAGCTCCTTCCCACATATGCAGTCTCATAAAACTTGCAGCTCAAAGGCCAAGACTTTGTCTCTACAGTCTACATATTTACATTTTACCTTTTCGTGCTTTTTGTATGGGGAGCTTTAGCATTTGGCGACCTGAACTTAACTTCTCGGCATTTGCGTAACTTTTGACTCTACTCTAAATGGGGAACAGTTTACGAAAGGGCCTTTAAGACCATATCTAAGATTAACCATGTTTCCCAGTTAACCTAAAGTTGGAGGTGACCTTAGTATTACAAGATATCTTACGTCTTGTGAAGTTGTGTTGAATGTTATTTTTAAGAATCTTAGTTTCTTGTCTACTTGTCAACTTAATACATTATTTTAACTTGAAAATGAAATTTAAGGATTGAGTTATTCAGTAGATATATTAAACTACTATTAAACCTTGCCTTGAAATGGTTCAATTAAGATTTATATAATTAAACTACACATCCACTAATCACAAACGTCACCGCAAACTCTTGACTTTTTAAAGCTCAATGAAGAAGTTAGCCTGCTGTCATATACATAGGTTTTGGAAAACTTTCGCTACAAATACCAAAGCCTCAAAATTAACCAAAAGCCGCAATCCATCAAACCTCATGCTTGGAGAATGATTTGCTGTCCGTTTCCATTGGGAACTTCCCAAGCCAGCTATTCCAAATGAAGTCGGCACTCAATAGATTGCGCTTTATTGTGCGAGTTGTCAGGAGCAGATTTAAATGTGTAGAAGAAGGACTCTTCCATTCCTGACCAATGACCCTGTTCCTCGGCTCATTTGCATCATCGATATGAGAAGACGGTCCCCGCCTAAAGATGAGGAATTCAATCTTGTCCCGCTCCTAATGTCTTCGCATTGAATTTTTAATTTAATTTGGCTGCAAGCAAACGCAGAAAATCAAATAACGAGTGAATTTCGAGGGAGGGCGAGGCAAAACCAATTTGTTTTATTAAACTCCTGGCGTTGATTTTTGCATAGAAATTGTCTAATCAAAAACAAATTTCATTTGAATAGTGTTTGATGTCGAGACGTGACTTTCGTCTGCCACCTGCCCCTCCAGATTTCCTCCAGGTGATAACCAATAATGAAAGGGAGATTTCCCCGCCACGATTTTCTGGGTCTCCCAAAAATTATTATACCTACCTTACATTTCCCCAACTGTTTTCACAGACTTCCTTTGGTGTCCTGACAAACCGCAAGCGCCAAAAATTATGCTATTAAAATGCTATTTTTCAATTAGCCGCCGACGCCCGCCTTTCTTCGGTTGTCTGTCAAATATATATATGTATGTAGGAGTATGTATATACTCTTTCAGCGGCATTATTAAAAGGTCGGCGCGCAGCGTGCGATTTTGTTTTTGGGAGAAGGGAGATGGGAACCCAACCCTAATTAGAAAAGACCAGACGAAAAGCAACAAAAAATGACAGGCTTTGTGTGGCGCAAACAAATTTTAATTAAAACCCGCAAAATTAACTGGAGAAAAAGTGCCGAGATGTGAGAAAGTTCAACCGCAAAATGTTGCCAAATTATGTGGTTGCAGTTTTGCCGAAAAGTAAGTTAAAATGAATTTTTAATGGTTTACAACGCAAACAAGCACCCAGCAAATTTGATTAGAACTGATATGGTTCATTTAGTAGCAGCTTAAGTTTAGTTAGCTTAGTTTTTAGCTTAGGAAAAGGCCTATTTAACTTAATGTGTTCTTAATACTTATAATAAATGAACTATAATGATTGTTCAGGCTTAAGTTTCATAAGTATAAGCCTACTTTGAAATAATAATAATAATAAAGAACAATGAAGGTCGCAGAATGAAGTTCCTCATTTATTATATCTTCATAGTTTTTACATAGTTGCTATATGTTTTTATAAGTTGATGTAACTCTAGAACTTAAACGCCTATTAAAGTAGCTTATACGATCACATCTCGAACTATACTTTTTGTTAAACTTTAAAAAATCATAACTGTTTTGTTTTTGTTTTGCATTTTTCTCATTGGTGGAATTTATTAATGATTTATTAAAATTGAGAAGTGAAATTGCATGCTTGCCGATGCTTAATTGTTTGATAGCAAATATCTTTTGATCTGGCCAACTGGCCACTGACAGGACAATTAATTGCAAAAAATCTTCATTTGCGTAGTTTGACAATCGGCTGGTATTTGATGTTGGGCGCGTTTTTTCTTGGCTGGCACTGGTTGCCATTAAATTTCCGCCGAAACTGTTTGCCATATAACAGCAGGCAAACACCTCTCCACCCATTTATATCCATCAACTGCCAATAAATCATTACAAAAAATCGTTTTATGCTAAAAAAATGTATGCGTTCTCGTACATGTGTGCGTACAGGCGGCCATTATTCTTGTATATGTGTGTGCGTGAAGGGACATGTATGGGTGCTCTGGAAATCCCGCAAACAGCAAGAAATGTTCAATATTTGCCAACAAGCATTTTTTGGTAATGTTTCAATTAACTTGAGCAAAAATATTTATGAGCCTGGCCCATAAAATTTGTTGGGCATAAAAACGCATTGAAAGAGCTACACACGCATACCGATACATCCGAGTGTGTGTCGGCTTTCTCCGTTCCCACGTCTCTTCTCCATTCTGTCTGTTTGTTTCTCGTTTGCTCGCATCAACCGACAACATAATTTGCGTCTATTTGATGTGTAGCATACTTTTTGGCTGTGGTCCCACTGCCAACAACAATAATAACAGCAAT